GAGCCTAACTCGCGTCCAAACTTAACCGTTTGAGAGTAAAGCGATCATGGGTTCTTCTTCTAGAAATCTTTATGCAGGAATTGGAGAAGGTCAATCAACCTCTAGGCCACCGCTTTTTGATGGCACCAACTACACATATTGGAAAGAGCGGATGAGAATTTATATCCGCTCAACCAACTTCCAGTTGTGGTTGGTCATCAAAAACGGCGAAGAAACGCCAATGAAGAAGGTCGGTGAAAAACTCGTCCCAAAGACCGAGGACGAATTTGATGCCGAAGACATCAAAAGGGTTGAGAACTATGCCAAGGCAATCAACATGTTGTACTGCGCGGTCAACCCCGATGATTATCGCAAGATCTCTTGCTGCACCACCGCCAAAGAAATGTGGGACAAGCTGGAGGTCACATATGAAGGTACGGACCAAGTTCGGGAAGCCAAAATTGACTTCCTAACGCAGGAGTACGAAATGTTTAGGATGAAGGAAGGCGAAAAGATCGATGACATGTTTGATCGGTTCTCAAAGATCATCAACGACCTTCATGCTCTCAAAAAGACTTACGCCAACAAGGATCTCGTGAGGAAAATCCTGCAGAGTCTCACACCCGAATGGAGATTAAAGGCTGACGCAATCTACGAATCCATCGGAGTCTCCAACGTCACCATCGACGGGCTAAGAGGTAACCTCAAAACTTATGAATCTACTATTCTAACCCCGTCTTTGGATGAACAAAAGAAGAAAGGAATAGCGCTCAAAGCAACCAAGGAGACCGTAGAAGAAGTCTCAAGCGATGACGACCACGAGTTCGGACTCGTCATCAAGAAATTCCAAAAATTCATGAAGAAGGAATTTGAACGAAAAGGAAGAAAGCACGACGGTCCCCCGAAGTGCTATGGCTGTGGCGAGATAGGCCACATCAAGCCGAGGTGTCCAAAAGGCAAAAGCGGCAAGGACAAACCTGGCTTCAAAAAGCAATGTGCTTATATCTCTTTGGGTGGCGACTCCGGCGACGAGTCAACTGACCAAGAAGAGGAAGAAGCCGCCAACCTTTGTCTCATGGCACACGAAGACCACGCCGACGAAATACAAGAGGTATGTACCACTTCCTCTGACTCTTACACTTTTGAAGAGATGCAAGAAGCTCTTCGAGAGCTTTATGATGAATTTGTTAGCGCTTCTAAAACCAACAAATCATTAAAGAAACGTCTTTCAACTCTTGAAAATGATTTTGAAAAACTGGAAAAAGATAATGAAAAGTTGAAACAAGAAAATAAATTTTATGGCAAAAGAAGCGCTGACAAACCGGAAAGCTCTTCAAGTGAATGTGAATCTTGCAAACGTTTAAGTCTAAGAACGTTGTTTCAACGTCTAGACCGCTTCAACTTTTGCACATGGATCTCTTTGGTCCTTCTAGAACGAAAAGTTTTGGTGGTAATTACTTTGCGTTTGTGATTGTCGATGACTACTCTAGGTTTACATGGACCTTGTTTCTAACTCACAAAAGTGAGGCATTTCACGCTTTCAAAAATTTTCTAAA